GTACGAGTAATAACCATGACACTACACATGGTAATCCAGTTTTTTAAGAATATGATTGATGATAACATTGATAATACGATAGTGCGGATGATACTAAAACGTAGGAGTAGTGCTAATATTAGTAATACGAATACTAGTAATACGAATACGAGTGCGACCGCGAATGGAATACTACTACACATACTAATACTAATACTAATTCTAATACGAATACTAGTACTCATACTTATACTGATACTACTGCTACTACTAATACTAATACTGATACTATTTCTAATACTCATGCTAATCATGATTCTAATACTAATAATAACACCGTTACTAATACTAGTACTAATACTGATGCTATTATTTGTAATTCTATTAATATCAGCATTAATACTAATACTAGTACTACTACTATTACTACTACTACTACTACTAATACTATTACGAGTACTAATGCTAATACGAATGCGAATACCACTACTACTAGTAATAGTACAAATGATGCTTTCTCTACTACAACGAAAAATATCCTAATACTAATACTAGTACTACAACTATTACTAATACTAAGACTATTACTAATACTATCACCAGTACTAGTACTAATACTAATACTAGTACTAATACTAATACTACTACTAATACTTTTACTAATACCAATACTAATACTAATAATAATACTGACACAACTACTAAGACTAAGACTAAGACTAAGACTAAGACTAAGACTAAGACTTAGACTTATACTAAAACTAATAGTAACGCTAATGCTAATACTCGTATTACTACGAACACGCATACTACTATTAACACTACTAGTAGTACTAAAACGAATACGAATGCGAATGCTAATGCTAACACTAATGATGATATTAGTAGTAAGTATACAAGAATAGTAGTACTAGAATTAGTATTAATACTAATCGATATACTAACAAGAGGACAAAGAGAAGGAGGAGGAAACAGAGGAAGAGGAGGAGAAGGAGGAGGAGGAGGAAAACAACGAGGAGGAGGAGAAGGAGGGGGAGGAGGAGGAGGAGGAGGAGGAGGAGGAGGAGGAGGCGGATGGAGGAGGAGGAGGAGGAGAAGGAGGAGGAAGAGGAAAAACATGAGGAGGAGGACACGGAGGAGGAGGAGGAGGAGGAAAAGGAGGAGGAGGAGGACGAGGTGGAGGAAGAGGAGGAGGAGGAGGAGGACGTACGCACAAGCATAATTCAAACAACTACACACCTTGCTGAGGTCCATGGGTGCTGACTAACGGGTGCTGCTCTGCTACTGCTTGGGGCTTCACGCGGGCGTCTGGGGGCTGGCGAATGGCGGGCCTGGCCAGCGGTCGGAGGACCCGGAATACCGCGACACTGCCCGGGCAGTGTTGGGCCAGGACTGCGCGCCCACAGGCAGCCGCTGCTGCACCCGACTGCGCACTGGCGAGCGGGCGGGGCAGGCTTGCGGCCTGTTGCTCTGGACGGCACCAAGGCGCGCAGCTGGGATGTCGAGGACGTGTGGGGCCGCATTCGCCAGGCCCGACATGTCCCCGTCCCAGCCTGGGATCTGGGATCGGTGACGCTGGCGCTGCGCCGCGGCCAGCTGCGCCTCGCGCGGCTTCGTGGACGCCCCACCTGGTGGGTCCAGGACCTCCAGATTCCCGGGTCCGCGCGGAGCTCCGAGAGTTTCCGCCGCTGGGCTACTGTGCCTCTCCAGGAGTTGCATGCCACGCCTCGGGCTCACGCTCGCGGCGGCGCGCCCAGGGGGGTGGGGGGCCAGGCAGGGATACACATTGGGCGATTGGGCCATGGTTGGGACAGGGCAGGGCTCGCCAAGGTTGCGGCCCAGCCCCCGTTGGGCCACTGTGCCTCGGCATTTTTTCGCGCGCACACGCCGAAGGGATTTTCGCGCGTGTCAGTCTGTGTGCGGACCGCGCCCAGGCGTGTCAGGCTGCCGGGCTGGCTTGCAGGTGACGTCCGCCTGCGGCCAGCCCAGTGAATTAGATGTATTTTTCACTTTCAGTAGCTGGTCGCTCCACCTTGCGTGCGCATCCTTGGACAATCGACCAGATAAGTGCGCGCGAGGCGGTTGCGTCTCTGGCGCGAGACCCCGCCAGTGCAGCTTCTGTCTGTTCACCGGGGACGGGTCCGTAGGCAGGCTCTGAGCGATGTCTGCCCTGGGAGGCGCAGATGCATGTTTCGTCCCCCCCTTTTCTCGCTGATCCTTCTCCTCCAGGTATACATCAACAAAACCTCGGGTGTAAAACACTTTGTTTTGTCGTATCAGTCTTTTTTCATACGTTTGGGTACAGAAATCAATCGTTTTATTTATACCCTGGGATTTTTCAGCCCTCGGGTTCTTGCGGGCGGCGCCAGGACGGGGATTGATTGTTCCGGGCCGTTCCGGAACGCTCTTCGAGCGTTGAGGCGGAGCGCTCTCGAGCGGCCGAGGTGCGCCCAGCGCATGCTGCAGGACCGCCAGGCCTCAGAGATCTCAGAGGCCTCCGACTTGTCCCCGTCCAATTTCGTCCCTGTCCTGGCTTCGCTCTTTCGGCGGCGAGCGAGGAGGAGGAAAAACGAAAAGGAGAAGGCCCTCTCAGAAGGCGGCGGTGCTCCTCAGATGGCATGTGGCTCCCTGAGAGGTTTTTTGTGTCTCGAGGGAAGGCTGAGAAAGTTTTCATAATCGGGGATGGACAGACCTCCTACCCTGACACGTCGATCAGTGAATTGGCCGTTTTCGGTTCGCGAGAAGGCGTCGCGGCCGTCATTTTTGCGGGTCCAGGTCCGTCGGTTTCGGTCCCAGGCGTGTTCTCACGAAGGGGAGGTTTGCTAAAAGGGAGTTTTGCCCACCGCCGACATGGTGCCAGGGAGCCTCCGAGCTTTCCGAGGAGGCCCGCCGCCTTCCATTTCCCCCCTGGGCTGGCCGCCGAGACTCGTCGGTGCCCGCTTTCGCCCCCTGTCCCGGCTTCGTCCTGCAGTCGGGAGCTCTGGCCCAGCGCGTCGCGCCGCCGGTTGTGGCCCAGCACGCCTCGGCGCGGCACGCCACCCACTTCCCAGTCCCCAGGCGTCCACGTCCTGAGCATCTCCTGGCTTTTCCGCCTCGCGGAGCGGAGCGACACGCTCTCCGCTCGCAAGGAGATGGCGTGTTGCTGGGGCCGCCGCGGCGACGCGCTATCCGGATGCTACTGACCGTATCCTCCCTCGCCCGTTCTGGCCTCCCCCTCCCTGTGCAGACGGGTGTTGCCAGAGATGCCCCTGGCACGGGGTGGCCCCAGGATGACCGAGAAGGCCCCCGCGGCCTCCAGAGAACCCCACACGAGGCCCAGACGGCCCCAGGGGCCCTAATATGGAGCGAAAGGCTAGGGACACCATGGGCCCGGGGGCACCTTCAGCGGCCCCTGAGTGCAGGACGACAAGTTCGAGCTGTGCGAGGAGATCGGCAGCGGCGCCGCCGCGCGGGTCCACGTGTGCAAGCGGCACCGGACAGGCCACTTGGCGGCAGCGGCCCCTTTCCTCTCCTCATACGCTCTCCCACCTTCCCCTCCCCCATTCCCTGCCCTCGTGTCAGTGTTGAGTCGGGCCTGTCCCTCAACAGGAGGAGTATTCAAAAGATGTAGAACCATAGTCTGGGGACGATTTTTCTATTCTTGAAGATTTTTGGGTATTTTTGGACCTTTTTATTTTTCCTTCGAGAGCCGCCTGTAGGAGGACAGCCCCGACCTGATGTTAGTGGCGGGAGGGGGTCCGAGCGAAGCTGCTCGCCACTCCGCTGTACTCCGAGCCTCCCGCCGCGGCTGCGAGCGGCTCAGCCGGCCCTCGGGGCCTGCTCGGCCCTCGGGCCTGCGCCAAAAGCTGCGACGGGGGGCGGCGGCAGCCGCGAAGCTCAGCAGCAGCGGCCTCCCGCCGCCCGAGGCCCCCTCCCCGTGCGGGGCCGAGAGGCTGCCGCTCCTGGGGGCGGCCGCCGTGCGCCTCGGGCCATCCCCGGGGCTGGGGCCCTTCGGGTGCTGGGCGGCACGCCGCGCCGCCTCGGGGGGGTGGGGCCGGGGCTCTGTCGCGGTCCTGGCTCGGCTCTTCCCTCGCGGCACCTCCCCAAGCTTTTGCCGCAACATGCAAAGCCTCGATAAGACGGGGGGGGGCCCGCCTCGCCGTCGGCCGCGGAGGTGGGCGCTCGCTCGCTCGCCTTCGCACCGCGCGCGTCCCCGCCCGCCCCGGAGTGCGTCCGAGGAGCGGCGTGCCGACACGGGCTGAGGGGCGCTCTGCGGCCCCGCCGCCTGGGGGGCTCCTGTGCCGCGCTGTGCGCTCCGCGTCGTGGGCACCACTTCTTCGGCGGAGCTCCCTAATTGCAGGGCCCGGAAGCGTGGGAGGGGTGTGCCGAAACGGGAGGGGAACCGCATGCGGACCGTGCCACGGAGGAGGAGTAGGAGGAGGAGGAGGAGGAGGAGGAGGAGGAGGAGGAGGAGGAGGAGGTGGGAGGTGGAGGTGGAGGAGGAGGAGGAGGAGGAGGAGTTCTTGGGTCCGGTCTCCCGCCAGTTCTTGGGATGGTCGCCCGCCAGTTCTTGGGTGGAGCTCCCTATGGGGCCGCGAAGCGTGTTGAGGGGTGTGCCGAAATGGGCCGCGGGACCAGACCCCAGAACTCCTCCTCCTCCTCCTCCTCCTCCTCCTCCTCCTCTTCCTCCTCCCCCGTGTCTGCTCTGTGCGCCTTTCTTCCTCTCCCTCCCTGTCCCCTGCCCCCACGCGTCTGTCCGTCCCCCCACCTTCCCTTATTCCCCCGTTCCTGCCCTTCCCCCCGCCTCTCTCCCGCGCTCCCTGTCCCGTTTTCCCCTTTTTGGCCTTCCGCGCAGTTTCGAGCATCTGTATAACTATTGTGCTAATACTCCCTTCGCTCTCCCACGTGCCTTTGTCCCTTTACGCTCAAGGACCCCCCCTTAGACGCCACGAAGGGCGGGAGGCCATTTTCACCCAACAACACGGCAGGGATCTATAGAACGCGTATAAAGCGCATTCGTTGGCGAGGGGTTAGCTGCTGTCATGTGGCAGACGCATTGGTCCTGCCAACATTGTTTTATCCAGATGCTGGTACACAGAGTACGCAGTGCCAGCGTTATGAAGCCCGATGCGCTGCGTCAACCTTTTGCACTGCACATTAGCGGAACTGGCGCGCCCCGAGGCTCTTGTCAAAAGTGACGCGACATGCTAGGGCAATTTCAGTTCTGTGCTGGGCGGACTGTATTCTGCAGTCGAGGAACCATGCGGTACGAGTGCCCATTGAAATTCAGCGCAGTATGATGTTGTATCGATCGTTATGCAACTATTACGTTCGTTGACTACCTGTATTAGTCTTTCAAGATCACTACGTATGTGGATGTGTAGTAACAAACTGTATTCATGCTCCAGAGCGAACTTTTCAGGCAAACGAGCACCAGTTGGTCGTTCAATAACGGCGACGCGCCAAGAGCACCCTAGAAGCTTTTCCGACAGTGGGAGGTTCTAGACAGCATAGCCGCTTCGGATTTACATGGGAAAGGTAATGATCATCATTGTGTCGAGGCTGTAGTGTCGACGAGGCGAGGTGTAGCCGCGGAGGGTGGTGATAGCTACGGCTCAAGTATACACATGCGAAATCTGTTTCTCCGCGCACAGGACGAGCAAACATTCTCACGCCTACGGGATGGTGGACCTCTGGGATGGCACTTGATTCGGACATGTTGCGAAGGTCACGAGGGGTCATCCATGAGCCCGCATTGCTTTCCATTTGCCAATGATGTCGCCCGGGGGATGATGCGCTCTTTCGGCTGACGAAGGTCCCACATGCCGACAAGGCTAGAGCAGCGTCTTTTTGACTTTGCCTCGGTCCCCTCTCCCGGCCCCTCCTCGCGCCGCCCCCTTCCTCCTCTCGTCTCCCCGCTTCGCCTTTTTCCCTTGTCCTTCCCCATACAGAGCGCGGCGGAGGTGAGCAGTTCGCCGTCAAGGTGATCAACGTGCAGAGACTAAAGACCGGAGGGGCGACAGTCAGAGGAGGAGGGGGGAGGATGATGTTGAGGAGGAGGAGGAGAAGGAGGAGGAGGAGGAGGCAGTTTTGGGAGGAAGAGCAAAAATTAGGGGAACGGAGAGAATTCTCCTGGCGAAGGGCCCAACCATATGCAGTAGTGAGTACTGCGTTGTGGGCACCGCTTTCGGTGGAGCTCCCTACGGGGTCATGAAGCGTATGAATGGTGTGCCGAAATGGGCGGGGAACCGCATGTGGACCGTGCCGCTTGGGCCGTCGGTAGAACTCCCAATGGGGCCACGAAACGTGTTGAAGGGTGTGCCGAAATGGGCAGGGAACCGCTTGCGAACTTTGACACTGGGGCCTTCGGTGGGGCTCCCTATGGGGCCGCGAAGCGTGTGAGGGGTGTGCCGAAATGGGCGGGGAACCGCATGTGGACTTTGCTACTGGGGCCTTCGGTGGAGCTCACAATGGGGCCACTAACCGTTTGAGGGGTGTGCCGAAGTAGGCGGGGAACCGCATGCGAATTTTGCCACTAGGGCCTTCGGCGGGGCTCCCTATGGGGCCACGAAACGTGTGAGGAGTGTGCCCAGACTGGTGGGGAACTGCATGTGGACTTTGCCGCTAGGGCCTTCGGTGGAGCTCCCAATGGGGCCACGAAACGTGTGAGGGGTGTGCCGAAATAGGTGGGGAACCGCATGTAGACTTTGCCACTGGGGCCTTCGGTGGAGCTCCCAATGGGGCCGCGAAACGTGTGAAGGGTGTGCCGAAGTGGGCGGGGAACCGCATGTGGACTTTGCTGCCATTGGGACCTTCGGTGGAGCTCCCAATGGGGCCGCGAAACGTGCGAGGGGTGTGCCGAACTGGTGGTCAGGCGGAGGGCAGAGGCATGTATGGGAGGAGGGAGGAGGGAGGAGGGGGACGAGGAAGGAAGGAATGTATAAAGGAGTGAGACGCGGGGACTGTCCCTTCAAAACAAGGACCCAGCTCCGCACGATGGTCGGGAAAAAGGTAAGCAAATCGGAACAGGGAGGGGGGGGGCGAGAGGTTCGCTGGACTGAGATGATGACGATAGTGACGACGGTGGTGAAGAGGGCGGTGGGCTTGGTGGATGCCAGGCTTCCTGTTCGCTCCCTTTCGGACTGGCTGTCGTGCCAGGGCGCGGAGCCGTGACGCTCTTGCAGTCGGAGAGCCGTCCCTCAGAGGAGGGGGGGGGTGGACGCGAGCGCGCTTCCCCCTCCCTCCTGCTTCCTCCGACCTCATCACTCCTGGGAGGTCGAATTCGGCCCCGGCCTTGCTATCTCCTTGGAGCAGAGCTGGCTCCTCCCAGCCTTACGAGGCGAATTTTTCATTCGTTGCCATGCAGCCTTCTCTACAGTTGCCACCGGTGTCTTCCCCCTACTCCGATTTACCCTGTCTTCCTCCTCTTGACATCAGCGCAGCGAGGATGCTCGGAGATGCGGAGTACGACAACGTCATGGTGAAGCTCCAGCGGGAGATAGACATTCTGCAGCAGCTGAGCAACCCTCGGAGCGCCTGA